ACTTTAATTTTCAGGTTCTTAGAAATCAGACGGGAAGACAAAATATTTTGAACTGAGAAGTAGCAAGCATTTCCAGAATTTAATCTCCTCCTAACTTCCTCATGAGTGTCTGAAAGACCACTATGCTGTCTTTTATGTAATATGTGTGTTTGAATATGACCAACAATGCAGATTATGTGTGTCTGACATGCCTTCTTCAGTGGAATTCAACTTGCTGATGAACCACTGGTATTATTAATAACTTGTAGCAGCCATCTGCAGGACTCCCAGTGATGTGTTCTGTTCCCGTGCTGTGGTATCATGTTTCTGTCACTGGTTAGGGTCTGTATTTTGCAGGCATGAATACACGTGTTTTACTAAAGTTGTAATTGTGTGTGGTAATTCTTGCCTTGCCATGAATTCCTCAAGTACCTACACTTCCTCTTGTTAACAGCAATCTTAGCAAATACCTGTGATGTAGATTCATGTGTATAGTTTTAACAGGTCACTGCTTGAAATATCTGATTATGTTGTTATCATTAAGATTAAATTTATGAAATCCTTATGCAGTATAATTCTCAGCATGATAATTGCATCACAGATATATAATTGTGTTCACATTCTTATGGTTAGAATAAGGGCTTGGCATTTCATGTTCAAGAAACTGATTAAAGATACTTAATGATGTGATTGCAACCTCAAATGTGGCTTTGCTTAGATCCTCCTTTAATCCAGTGGTTCTAATGCCATGCCTTTTCTCACTTCAGTTATCCCCTCTCCCATTTATTCAACCAGGGCTATGGCTTGCCAGCCTACTCCTATACTTATCACAGTCTTTCTGTGCACAACTTCTTCATAACCTTGATGGAGGCTGTACGTTTCACTGAAACATCAGTAAGTATCTGTCAGACTACATGGTGCTACATTTCAGAAGACAACAAATTTATAGTGTATCTTACTTCATTGCTCTAAGCTACACCACAGAAACAATTATCATAGTTCAAGATCATTCCTCTGACAAGTCAATTAGTGTACTGTCTGTAGTAGTTATGAATCAGGTAGACTTAACTGTTACAAATTTATTTTATTAATCTTAAAACCTCAAAATAAATTATTTTTGCCTACTTTCCTTATTTTGTAAGGAAATAAAAGTTCAGTATGTCTGTTATTCCATTTCAAAAGTCCACCCCCACCCCTTAATTTTTGAAACAGTTGATGGATGTTCTTGAAACTTGGTATATATAATGTGATTAAAGCCCACACCATCTTTGATCTTTTCCATTTCCTGCCATCTGAATTGCCAACATGGTGGCCATGTGAGCTGAGGTAAGAGGCAATAGTGTTACTTTATTTATGGTCTTAAAATGTTGTGTGATAATAGACCTTCAGAATGTATGAACCATTTATTGAAGTAATTACTGTTTTGTAGAACTTGAAACAGTAGCATTACTTCTGTGTGATCTGTTTTTTAATTTGATGGCAACATTCAGTAATTTACCATCAGTGGCATGAACTGATTTTTCCGCTACCTGATTAGTCTTGATGTCTGTTAACAATAGTGGTAATAAACTTGGCTGTTAAAACTTGAACTATTTAAACAGTTCTTCAGCTGATTAACAGATTAGATTAGGCACTCGCAGGATCAAACAGCAGGTGCAAGGTTAATATGTAAAATAATGGGGAAGTGGGATTGCAGGACTCCCAGTGATGTGTTCTGTTCCCGTGCTGTGGTATCATGTTTCTGTCACTGGTTAGGGTCTGTATTTTGCAGGCATGAATACACGTGTTTTACTAAAGTTGTAATTGTGTGTGGTAATTCTTGCCTTGCCATGAATTCCTCAAGTACCTACACTTCCTCTTGTTAACAGCAATCTTAGCAAATACCTGTGATGTAGATTCATGTGTATAGTTTTAACAGGTCACTGCTTGAAATATCTGATTATGTTGTTATCATTAAGATTAAATTTATGAAATCCTTATGCAGTATAATTCTCAGCATGATAATTGCATCACAGATATATAATTGTGTTCACATTCTTATGGTTAGAATAAGGGCTTGGCATTTCATGTTCAAGAAACTGATTAAAGATACTTAATGATGTGATTGCAACCTCAAATGTGGCTTTGCTTAGATCCTCCTTTAATCCAGTGGTTCTAATGCCATGCCTTTTCTCACTTCAGTTATCCCCTCTCCCATTTATTCAACCAGGGCTATGGCTTGCCAGCCTACTCCTATACTTATCACAGTCTTTCTGTGCACAACTTCTTCATAACCTTGATGGAGGCTGTACGTTTCACTGAAACATCAGTAAGTATCTGTCAGACTACATGGTGCTACATTTCAGAAGACAACAAATTTATAGTGTATCTTACTTCATTGCTCTAAGCTACACCACAGAAACAATTATCATAGTTCAAGATCATTCCTCTGACAAGTCAATTAGTGTACTGTCTGTAGTAGTTATGAATCAGGTAGACTTAACTGTTACAAATTTATTTTATTAATCTTAAAACCTCAAAATAAATTATTTTTGCCTACTTTCCTTATTTTGTAAGGAAATAAAAGTTCAGTATGTCTGTTATTCCATTTCAAAAGTCCACCCCCACCCCTTAATTTTTGAAACAGTTGATGGATGTTCTTGAAACTTGGTATATATAATGTGATTAAAGCCCACACCATCTTTGATCTTTTCCATTTCCTGCCATCTGAATTGCCAACATGGTGGCCATGTGAGCTGAGGTAAGAGGCAATAGTGTTACTTTATTTATGGTCTTAAAATGTTGTGTGATAATAGACCTTCAGAATGTATGAACCATTTATTGAAGTAATTACTGTTTTGTAGAACTTGAAACAGTAGCATTACTTCTGTGTGATCTGTTTTTTAATTTGATGGCAACATTCAGTAATTTACCATCAGTGGCATGAACTGATTTTTCCGCTACCTGATTAGTCTTGATGTCTGTTAACAATAGTGGTAATAAACTTGGCTGTTAAAACTTGAACTATTTAAACAGTTCTTCAGCTGATTAACAGATTAGATTAGGCACTCGCAGGATCAAACAGCAGGTGCAAGGTTAATATGTAAAATAATGGGGAAGTGGGATTATGAGGTGTACTGGATTGGGCTTGTTTAGGGTTGTGTCTAAATAATTGTTTTGGTAATATCAGTTTTGGACCGCTGGGTTCTCTTACCAGAGAGTTAGTTCAAATTTTATACTTTGCTGGACATTCTTCTGTTTTCTTCAAAGTGTGCTGTCTAACCTCAAATTTAAAAATATATTTCTTCAACCAAGGTTGTATTTGTCAAGTCTGCATTTATAGCTGTGTGTAGAAGATCAAGGAGTGTAACTCTTTTGTTATTAAGGTGAAGTAAAGCTTTAATAACAGGAACAGTAAACTTTGTTGGAATCTTTATTCCTTTTGATTTACATTCATTTTGAAATTTGCATAAAAAGCTTGAAGGTAGTTAAAAAAAGGAAGAAATAAAGGAAATATAAAATCACAAATGTTTCACACTACAAGAACTCAGCACATTTAAACATAACAATTAAAATACATAATTAATGAATTAACATTTGTGGTATGTTACAACTCAACACCATACTTCAGGACTCAATTTACATGTGGTTTATTTATGTTCACATGACTCAATAATTAATTTATAAAAATATAATTTTCTACAGTTATATACACATCATGTCATTGATTCTTGCTTCATTTCGTGTCCTTTTGTGGTAACTTCTGTTTATGAATATCAGATGGAACTTGGTTACCATTACTCTGTGAATGTTGTACCTTGTGTTTTGTGTTGCACACATACTTGAATCTTGAAGTCAACATACTGCATATCTGTTAATAGTTTTCATAATTAATCTAACATGTTCAAATGTAGTTATGATCATTGTTAATGTATTTCACAATTCAGGTGGCTCTAATAAAATATTGTTTTAGAAACCTGCTATTTATAGGTTTCTCAGCTGATTGCATCAATATGTTAAACTCAAAGAGAGATACTATGCTGTGATTTCTAATAATTTGTAGGAGATATTCCTTATGTCACTACATTATCAGACAACATTGCACTTCATGGTAAGATGATGCTTTTACCCTTCAATCTGCCTGATATATATTGTCTTTAAAATACCCTAATATTACCATATGCACCATCTAATGGTGTTGTGCCCATGGACAAACCATTCATTACATTTTTACCATAGACTGGTGAGAAGAAATTGTAGAATGTATTCCACAACTGCACTGGATGATCTTTCTCACATATTCCCTCACCATATAATTAGTTTAGTTAAAATGCATACTGATATACCGTGATGTGGTAAGTTCTGATTTGCGTGTACAGGATATATTATTCATAATATTTCGTTTTCTAAAATTTCATTAGAAATTTTAAACTGGTTTACAAGGTTACTTTGTGATGTAATTTCTGACATCAAGACTTTGGTTGTATTATGGCTGACTTCTATTCCATAAAGTAATAATGCCATGTTTGACTCTAGATGTGACAAAATCTATATGCCTTTACAAATACTAAATTAAACATATGGTTCACACTTATATGCCTTACCAAGCTTTTAATGTAGATTTTGTTAGATTTATTCTACTAATGCAATTGGCCTGATGTTAAGACTAAATTAAGTAGTAACGATTAGTTTGGGCCTTTATCTCCAGGAAGATTTGGTTATATAATATCCCACTCTTTGTGCTGTCTACGGCATTGAGAGTGTTTCCATCTCAAACTATACCATTGTAGGTGTAGAGATTTCTGTTTGTGATACAGTAATTTATCTTAGTAATTAAATATTACACTTGTTGCATTGTTAATTTGAATTATTGTTAAAACCTGCAGCCTACATTTAAGTTTCCAGAGCATGTGTCTTTTGCCCTTTCAAGGGGAAATATCCTATATGTATCTAACATGACCATCATATGCACAAGAGCATAAGGTATGGTGATACTTGGAATAGAAACATTGTGATTGCTATGGCGTAAGAAATTCCGCATGTTAAAATTCATGTACCAAGTGCACCAATGAATAGTAAACTACCATAAACATTTCAGGATTAGAATCTCTAGGTTAGTTCTTATATTCTACTTCAAGTGGCTTTACTGAGGATCAAAAAATTTATTTCGTTATTGTCTCCGTATACTGACAACCAGGCCACTGAGCTACCATTTTGGCTCTGGAGTTTGTAACCCAGGTGTGATGAAACAAACTTACTGTATTGAACATTTTTACAAAAGAATGTGAAAAATTGAGCTACATTCCTTGCTTCTTGTTGCGTAACTTAAACCAGCCTGCAGTGAGTCTTGAGTCTTTTGGCATGGAAGCTGACCGAGACACTTTTGCTGAACTTTTCTTTGAATTTCCTTCATTTCCTTTTGTGGTTACAGTTCTGTAACTCTTACTGCTGTTAAGCTCTACTGCTGAGGAGTTCAGTGCTGAATGTTTCTTGGAATTCACACTCCTGTTTCTGTTTTGTTTTTGGTTTAGAGATTCTACAGATGTGGATTGGTTCAAAGCTGAGTACTTTTTTTCTGTTGGTGTTCTGTCTCTGATATACTGTCCCTGATTGGTCCCACTCTTTCGACTTAGTGATTCAATAGACGTGGCCTTGTTGACTCTTTGCTTCTTCAGTGTTGTATGGTTTTCTTTACCTCTATCACCATTACTTTTGTATCTGTTCATACCACTACTGCGATTAATTGTCAAGTTTCCACTTGAGTTCTGGGATACAGGCACTTTTGGAGGCTTCCCACTATCATTTCGCCCTAGAGTTTTATTATCACTATTGTCATTATCATACCGGACTTCTAGACCTTCCTTATAATGTCGAGGTTTCCACGGAGCAAGGACCTGTAACATTATTAAAATAATTTATTATAAACACCTGTAACATATAAAAACTGCTAGTAAATAATTTTAAAATGGTCCAGAGTTAAATTTATTGGGAAGACCAGAACAATTTGAAGAAATATTTATGATGAAACACGGATGAGATTAAATTTGGGAAGTGTAATCTACCATTCCATTCAGAACATTTTATTTTACTGTCTTCTTCCTTAATCATTGAAATGGTAGATTGTGTGAAGTATTATATTCATAGTAAGAGAGTTGGACTGTGGGTTGGGAGCACCTTCCCTTTACCTAGTAGTTGGGTTGATATACACTTACAGAAATTGAACGTGACACAGTGCGAGATTGTGGTTGCAATTGATGTGATGAACCTGCTGTGGAGGACAGTTCTTCTCTGCTCTGGGCTCTGCGTGCAACTCCACTACGCTGAGATCTGGGTGGGCCAGGAATATCTCCCACTGAAAACAAAGTTTATAATCTGTTGTTAGAAAAATGTAACAGTAATTAAAATAGTTGTGGGGCATAGTTAAAAATTATGAAATTAAAGTTCCATGAAAGATAAAGTTCACTCTGTGCCTCACCGCCGTATAAAAATGTAAAGGGATGGAAGGGAGAAAGTTCTGTGCATTCTAGCCTCAGCAGTAGATGAAGTGGTTAGTTTTACATTTTGGCTGTTTATTCCTAAGGAGAAAATCTTTGGTAACCATTTGATACTTGTATGGTCATGTGGCTTACAGACCTATACTGGATGTGGTGAAGATCAACATACCAGCTAGTAGTTGGACAGACTAGTGTGACTTAGGTTTTTATGTGAAAGATAAGAGAATAACCCAAAGCATGTTAATGACTCACAGTTTCTAATGAATTTTCTTTTTTGTTTGTTTTGGATTGTGGTTCCATTGGTATTTTCGATGTAAAATAGTCTTATCATTCAGGAATTTTAAGCAACACTTTTCTACATAATTAAAACAAGCTATATATCTTATCTGCTGCAACAGTTCTAACCATATTGCTATAAAGACTGAGCATTAAATTGCTTCATGCAGGTGTACACAATGATGTGTGTGATCTAGACCCCTTTATGAAACAACCTCTGCAAGCTATGTATCTTATGCAAGGTCAGCCATGATCCAATTTTACCTGTCCTAAGAGGATGGTTCTGTATTGTGTGTAACTCTTACATTAACTACCAATTTTTTATACTTTCAGTTAATGAAATTAATGTTAGTGCTTCTGATAAAGTTAATATGCCTTTTCTGATTGTGTAATTAATATTTGCTGCAATGAAAACATGCATCCCTTCTACTCCTCACATTATGAGCCACTGTCTTTGAGCTGTTTGTAGTGTACTGTACTCAGATTATTAGTCATTTTTGTAGTGGTATCTGAGAATATCTTAATGAGTATTGTCCACTGTAAATTAATTGCTACTTGTGATAATAAAACCTCACATGTAGTCTTACATTTATGTTCCTTTATTTATGCAAGTATATATTATTTTTAGTCACTGTATCTCTTATTAGTCGCTTAAAATTAATTGGAAATTTATTTTAATTTTTGTATAACAAATTTTTTCATGGATACACCCCTTTCATAAACTGAGGAGTTCATTTATTATAAGATATAATACAGCAATGTAAAATATCTGATATTTAACACTTTTTATTGTGGCACTGTTGCTCTTATGCTAACGTTTTACTAAACAGCCTGCATGTTTTTGTGTAGTAACTTACAGTAAGCTTGGTTGGAAATATATTTACAATTTGTACTCACCAGTGGCTGCATGCAAGTAGACAACAGATCTTTGTGATTGCTGACTGCTGTCTCCTTCAGTGGTGCTCTCAGCAGAGCTGGTAGCTACATCTCCAGCACTGCGGTGATGACGTAGACCTCCTGCCCTCAAATTCCGTGGTGGAACCTGTAATCTGTTATTACTGCTGATGCTCGTACCATTAGTGCTGTTGTTGTTTGACTTATAACGGCGTAGAGTCTGATGATTTGGCTGGTGGAGTATTGATACAACAGATTCCTGATCTGTATCCCCAAAAAATCTCAGGTTCTTGTTATTACTACTGTTGTTATTGTTGTTTTGCTTGATAGTCTTGTTCTCATCTTCTGTTGTAATGTCCATATTCTTATCATGTTCCTGCATAAATAAATATATAAGCCTCAGGCACATTTGATGCATGGGTAATTGTTAATTGAGTGAAGCCTATGCAGGAAGGACCTCAGAAAAGTAAGCCCAAACACACTCTGTCATTACCACCTGTGGGCCCATTAAACTATGTGTGGTTGTTTTCTTTGTGCTCTTACTTAGCTGTTTTCATGAATTCAGGTGTCATCGTCAAAGACCTTTACTAGTATAAGTTGGATCATGATTTGCATATCAAATAAGACACCAGTATGTTAGTCAGTTCATTCAAAAGTTATATATTCCGGAGATGCACGCAGGTTTTGGGAGGTGAGTCGTTTTGAAGACGTAAACGTTTATGGCAGGGGGGGGGTTTTTTTTTTTGGGGGTTGGGGGGGGGGGGGGGGTGTGTTTTTATGTGCATTTACATTACTGCAGAAAATTGCTCCATTTATCTGCATGCTTGAAGCAGCTTAAGAATGGATGAACTGATTTTCATAAAATTTTATATTGCAAAATTTTTATAGAATTTCTTGACATTTTCCAGTTTTGGTTAAAATCAGGCAACAATATCAGACACATTGTGTGAAGATCCATATGCATTTCTTTGTTGCTATAGTTACCTTGGTCAAAGGTCAAATTATGGTGAATCTGCCAGAACTGTTCCACTCCTTTATACATTTCCTAAATTGCTTAATGTACTATTCCTCTAATGCCTACTGGGACAATAAAAATCACAACATTTCTGAGTTAGTGTAATCATTCTCTTGCTTTCAGTCAATGCTTCCTAAGTAAATGTATGTTTTATTGCTTTGTAAACTCATTTGGTACAAATTGAATACATAGTAGTTTTACTTACCTTGGCTTTGTTCTTTCCTCTTTTAGTGAGCCTGTCAAGGGACTTGAACCAGCCTCCCCCTGAGCCATTGGAATTCTGTTCCCTGTTCCTCATATTGTTGATGCGGGTAAGTGTCGCTGATGAGGGTTTACTGTTAACTCGTGGTGGACTGGGGCTAGGGCTCGGTGTGGCAAGTCTTTGTCTGACAGGTCGATGAAATTCTTCTGCTTTTGGTTCCTAAATGTAATAGAAATTTTGTATTTCAAAATGTCTTAAAACAGTCTGCAACAGTTATTTTAGAATTTCTCTGTGTAGTCACAGTTAACATTTTATTTCTGAAAAGTACATCAGAAAAATTTGGTTTCTGATACTTCTGTGTGGACTTGTTTTTTTTTTTTAAAGGTATGTGACACTTGCTGAAGCCAAATTATTCTGGGACCAGTTTGTTATTAGTATGCCTATGATGGCTTAGCCTATTGTACATTACCTTCTGAAGTACTTGGGGGGGGGGGGGGGAGATGTAATAGTGAATTAGGCTTATAGTTTGTCATGCTAGTTTTGTCACCTTTCTTGTAGAGTGGGTTTAATATTGAAATGTTAGAACAATCAGGGAAAATAACCTCTATCCAAAGTACTATCCAGACATTCACCTGAAATTAATGACCTTATGACAACTACAATTTGGCTAGCCAGTTCATGAACTGAGATTTGAGCTAGGTGCCTCCAAAATATAATTCAGTCTACATGTATGACACAGATTGTAGGTGTGTGCTTTAAAGTATTTCTCTGCATTTTTCCCTTTAGAATGTGAGAATATTATTGACATAAATGTAACAAGATAAATTTGAGGTTTGAAGGTAGAACCATTTAATGAAGGGGTAACAGGTTAGTGTCAACACTACTCTATGTAAGAGACAGGCCACCCTTATTTTGTTACCTGAAGCAGGCATATAATTTAGTAATCAAACATTTAGCTGTCTTATAAGGGAACCACACTTTATTACAGGAAGTCTGCTACACTTTCACTCAAGACCCAGTCTGACTTCTGGTCCTTATAGGTAGGTCTGTGTGTTTCCTGTTTGTAGTAGCCCCTTTATAAACAACTGTAAAAGCAATTACAAATCATGTTGCATCATAGTCTAGATTTGTTATCCTATGGCTATCCATATAATATGCACATTATTTGTAGATTAATATCTTCATAGTATTCAGTAAAATAATATATGGTGTGGGTGTAGCAAGAACTTATATGTCAGATGTTGATAGGTTACCTTGCTGTTTGTTTGGCTGTAACTTGAAAATTGGCTTACTTTTTATACCAATCAGTATGAGAGAGCATAAAGCTGAATATGAAGTTTTTGAATTTTAATATTAAAAATGTATCCAATGGGTACCCAGTGCTCTCTTCCTGAGAGCAAAGTGGCCGTGGCATGAAGCTGACCACTCACCTCTATTTAGTGTCAGTTAAGAATGTGTGGAGCTATACCTCCACTCCCCCGTACATCTTCATGGCATGGTGCTTAATTAAGCATCAGGGACATTACATTTACCGACTACAAACTACCCCTTGAAATGGCCCTGTAAATTGTATCTCATGTATTTATTACTGTAATTTTATTTGCTAATCATAAATTACAAGATGCTTTAGCAGGATTTAAATTAAAACATTTGTGAAGGATGTGTTGTCATGAGCCATTTTAAACAAATTTAAATCCACACAATGCATTTCCTGAAGATCAGTTTTGTTTTTATTCAAGCTGTGTGTGCATCTCAAGTGGTCTCTTTTGACAAAATTTAACTGAAAATTTGTACACACCTTTTATTTTTAACAAATCCAAATGATATACATTCAACAAATAATAATATTAACGTGCCTGATCATGGAGGCATCAGAACTCTCTTACTTATTCACATGCCTGTTTATTTACTGAACCAGCTAGCCACCCACTGAGTCAGTCTGTTGGTCAGTTGTGATTGGATATTCAAGTATTGAAATATATGCAAGTCTGTGCAGGAATGTTTCCTTTTATGTTACAAGTAGCTTTAAAAGAGAAAGGTTTGGGTGTGGGAGTATGTTTGATACCTTAGTCTTAGCAGAGCCCTACCCCTGGACTTAAGTTACCCAAGGACATTAACCTACAGCTGTGAGCTGACCATAACTTAATATCCTATTCCAGTACCTTTCACATGTCAAAACTGACTATATGTTCAGAATTATATAGGCAAAGGTATCCAGAAGTGATTGCTTACCTTCTGCCACTTTTCCTTCAGATTGCGCAGTTTAGCCATTCATTTGGTCAGAATATGTGGAATGAAATACTACTTATTGGTGATGTAACTCTTGAGGTGGTATTACTGAACTGGCTGATCTTATGATACTGAAGCTACTTTGCATTGGGGCGGTACCTAGTTCAGATCCCAGCCTAGAATTAGCTATGAAGATGGCTGTCTTCTAGGATGCTGCATCATGTAGTCAGGGCAACTCCCCTGATAATGGAGTCAGTAAGCACCTCTGAAATGTCAGTCAGTATCTACCAGACTGTGTAGCGCAATGTCCTGGAAGACGGCCATCTTCATATTTGTTATTGTTAGAACCTGAAATCCTTTCAAAAATCAGTGATTCTGATTACTGTTATTTTGTGTTTTTCTTCACATTCTTAAGATGTATTCTGGAATATAGCTTCAAAGTAGGCACCTGGCCTTTTCCCCACATCTCTTCTAAATCATTCACAGTTGTTATATCTCATCTCTGGGGATGACTCAGCCCTCTGTCCCGTGTGGGTACTGTGGCTCTTTCCTTGGACATAATGTGGCTGGATTATGTAGCTGAACACTTAGTTCCATCTAGTGCTGAGGTTAAAAATGCATGGAACTTTAGTTCCATATCCCTTTTATGTCTTCAAAGTGAGGTGTTTATTTGTTTTATTGGTTCACTGTATGTTTGACTGATTGCTTTGTTTATTTGTTTGTTGTGTATGAATAGTATTTATTGAAGTATTCGTGATAGAGTTGTATTAATGCCAAGGATGGTTGGTTCATCATTTACTTGACTGAATGAGATGAGAAGATTACTCTTCAAAATATAATTCGCCCATTTCACCGCTTGAGCAAATCTGCTTTGTTTAATCCCGAGGCATCCTGTTAGTGATGTTCTGTATTGTGTTAAAGAACTGTTTGATTTTCCCTTTACTCATATGGTTACCATGAAGTTTGTTTAGAGAACAAAGAAAAGCTTAAGACTTTCATAATCTCACCAGGATTAGGTACTCCTCCTGGCTAGAACATATTGCTTCTTGTATCTGCACTGACATGATATACATTAAAGGAGTAAAGAGATGGAATAAATATATGTATTTGTCCATGGTCTAATCACCTGGGCAGTAGGATGAACAGTGTACTTCCAAATTAGGACATCAAGGAGAAAAATTTACTTTAATATAGGCACCGTACATGTGTTTAATGATTTCTGGGTTAATAGTCAACTTGGTTGTGTGGATTATCCAGGTCAGTGATGGAAAAGTCAAGGCACCTGGATAAATAGAAGTTCTGTTGTGCTGATGACTACTTATGGTAGACATGTTTCTTAGGGCAGTGAATTTAATATGTTATAATGACATAGCATTTCTTCATTTATGGCTCATATTTCTTTCCTCATGCTCCTATCTCTGGAGCCATGCACTGAGTATTATTTGATCTGTTTGAGCTTGTGCTACAGATATATTTTGATAATTTCCAGTAATAGTTACACTTAATTATATTTAAAGCAGTGTCACAGTCATTATATTCAGCGTTTACCTACTGAAGGAGCAGATGTAAGTATTAAGTGTTCTTTCTCCTGAAGTGTCTAATGTTGAAATTGCTTGAATTTTTTTTTTGTCCAAATGTTAGGAGGAAAAAGTGGCAGTGTAGATGCCAGCATTGTCATTGATTTACAAGTCCCAGTATTAAAATTTAATTTTTGTTTGGTAACTTTTCTAAAATCATCCTGAAATACTCTGTGTCCCAAAATTTTCTGGACTGATTTAATTACCTATGAAAGGCTGACTCTATATGTTGAGTTTGTTCCTAAGGACACAACTGTCAGTGGAAACTATTACCTGGAAGTTTTGAAGCATTTAATGGCAAGAGTTTGCTCACAGTATCAAGAACAAGGCTGTTGGTTACTCTTGCATGACAATGCCCCAGCTCAGAAAGCCGTTGTCATTCACAAGTTTTTGGCATCCAAAGGTGTTGTGGTTCTTAATCGCCTCCCTTACTCGCCTGATGTGTCACCTTGTGACTATTTTTTGTTCCCTAAACTAAAACTGGAAATGAAAGGCACACGTTTTGATGACATTGAAGACATTCAAAAAGCTGCTACCAACTTCCTGGAGGCTATGCCTAAGGACTTTCAGCAATGCTTTGAAAAGTTTTATGATTGTTGTAATACGTAAGTATATTGCTGCAGATGGAATGTATTTAGAATAATATGCAATAAAAAATTAAATTACTTGAAGATAACTGTGTTTTCTAAACCAGTCTAGAAATTTTTGGGACACTGTGTAAACTAAACATAAACTGATAAGAACAAATTCTGATTACATGGATGTAGAATTTATTCAGCTTGGCTTAAAATTTATGAAGTCTTCAGTTTAGACAATGAATTATTCATAATTTTGTATGTAGAAATAATAATTCCTTGATGGGATTTTCTTAAAAAGAATGGCACACACAGTGAATGCTTATAGGAAATGTTTTAGCTTTATGTAATGCATATGATGCCAGTGAAATAGTCTTGACCTTCATGAATGAAACATAATGTTATTAAGATTAGTGATTCTTTTATTACTAACAGAAGAGGCACAGTACAAATTTAAAAGTCTCATTATGTGCAGAAATGGGCTCTTATTGATGCACATGGAAGCATTAGTGCACTGTAATATCATCCTTTTATTTGTTAAGTCATGCTGAGAGAAAGATACCATACAGGTTGTTGATGGCATAGTAAGCCGATAGCTAGCTCTAGAAGCTCCATATATGGATGCAATGAGAGGAATGTGGGTCAGGACACTCACTCACAGCCATCCAAGGCAGTGAAAGTTCAAATTTAATTGTAGAGCTGACAGCAAAAGTGAAGTATAACTTTTCATACTACACTTTTGAATGTGCTAGTTGGTTATTTTGTTATTGTATGACACTACTGATGAGGCTGTTCAGTATTGAATGAGGTGTAATAGGTTTGTGAATATTTAATGTAATGGAATTTTATGAAGTATAGACGTTACTCAGTATCAAGTGAGATGAGAAAGGAAGATTATGTATGACAAATTGCAAATTGTGGGGAGAAAGTGGTCACGGATTTTTTTTCCCTGGTAAAGTTTGAAATTCTTATGGTAATTAGAATTTGAATTTAAATTGGGTACCCCTGAATGCAAGTCAGGTTATGGCAGCTTGTTTTGAAAGTTCTTGTAGGATGATTAAGGAAAGATGTAGGAAGAATCAGTCTTTTTATGTTTAAAACCCCAGTCAAGGTAATGGGTCCCATTCTGGGATTTGAACCTAGCATCTCCTGAAAATGAATCGCATACATTATTGATTGATATTACATTATTGTTTTCAGTATTTTGAACTTTAAATATTTGCAAATGATTTTTTGCATATGTATTTGCCCTTTATTTTGTTTTTGTCATACTCATATATTTAGTTTTATCTGTATTTACTTCTATTTCAATTTATTTACTAGCCTAGTAGAGAGTTTATGCATTCTTTGTTATTTTATGTATATTTTCTCTCAATAAATTAATATCACCACACTCCCATTTCTGTTGGACTTTACAGAGGGCATAATATTCTAGAGCAGAACTGAGAAGCAATGGGAATATAGCTTATGTAAACTTTGCCACATTGTAATTACCTTGGCAGTTTCTTGAGTATTATGAAATCAATTAAAATGCATGCATTATTTCTATCCTCACTGAATCGTAGGTATTTCAAAATAAATACTATTAACTGTATAGAAGGAAAATAAAATAGACAGAATATTGTGTTTATACTTGGAAGTGGGAATGGAAACAAATTGATACATTATGTGACTAATGTGTTTAGACAGGTGTTAAAATAAACTTCATGCATTTACTTCTGGCTGTTGGTATGTAAGTTGTCTTCTTAGTGACATCACCATTTGTCATTGTGGTTTTATTTCCATAAATGGCGTGACTCATTAAAGTGTAGAGAGTTAAAGATCTGCATGACACTGGGTGATGTGAGTCAAGGTGAAATCTCATCCATGCACAATGTGGTTTATGTTTTGTAATGGGTTTAAGGAATTATGACTTACACAGCTGTCTCTCATGACAGTGCCTTTATATATAAGCAAAGACATGAGCTTGTGTAGGTGATACTTTGCAAGGAGAGGACATGAAAGCAGTTGCTCAGTTGCTAATTCTTTGTTCTAGTCTGTAGCCTTAAATTCAAGTGTCTCTAACCTGCACATCACAAATTATATGACATCATGCCAGAAAGCATCTGTCATCATCATTATTGTTGTTGCTGTCACTTTATATTATCATTTCTTGACATAATTATCCCAGTTACAGAACAAAATTTATTGCTGGATATATTTCAAGGCATTGCATACTACATATGAGAACTATGTAGCATGTCTTCTGTGTTAATGAGCTATGTTATTTATCATGTATGTTTTTCAAGTTATTTATTTGTTTATTATTTTTTTAACAATGCTGTCACTGGCTCACAATGTATAGTGTCAAATGATAACATGATTAATGGCTTGGAAAGTGTATCATAGGAAGTGATTTAATATACTATTCCAGAATTTGACTGGAAGGACTGAGAAAACTGCCAAAAATCTTCAGTCAGCATAGGTTGCAGGCCTGTATTTAAACCCGGGATCTGGATAGGAAGCAGGAGTTCTAATCGCTTGGCTGGTTGCACTGATGTATATGTTCTTTGAATCAAGTAAATACCGGCTAACATATAGCTGATTGACATATTTTTGTTCACTAATGATGAAGGCATTATAGACACCATTATTCTCGGTGAAATGTTGTTTTTATATATTCTCCATTTCTACTTAAAGATATTAGATAAGCAAGAGTAGCCAGCCATAAAACTGACTGGCTACAGACAGGATTACTGGACTTTGATTCCTGGCAATGGTGGGAATTTTTCTCTTCACCACATTCAGACCAGCTTTGAGGCTAATTCAACCTTATATTGAATTGGTTCCAAGGACCCTTTCTCCAGAGATAGGGTGGCCAGAGTGTAAACTTATCTCTCACCTCCTCCTTGTACCAAAGTGTAGAATGTATGGCTCTCTACATCCACATACCCTTGACACCTTCATGCTATAGTGCTTAAGCACAGGTGCAACACAATAGAAGGCAAGGTTTCAGGTTCTGATGGTGGTGAATATGAAGATGTCTGTCTTCTGGGTTGTTGTGCCATGTAGTCTTGTGGATATTTATTGATGTTTCAGAGGTGCTTGCTGCCTCCATCATCATTATCTTAACTCTGATGATGGAGGCAGCATGACCCTCTGAAATGTTGATAAACTTCTACCAGACTATGGATTACAACAACCCAGAAGACAGCCATTTTCATTCCTGCAGGCATCTACTGTGACTCAATGCATCTCTGTTTTATTACTTCATATATGAGTTTTCATATAGCAAATTCACTTTACCATGATTTTCATCTTAGTAATTAATATTTGGAGTTTATCAGTCAGTTTTGATTGATGACTGGTAATATATGTTATGTAGACAACACATCTTCTGCAGTATTTAAGGTGTGTGTGTATATATATTCTAATTACATTCTGATTTGTTTCACATCAGCATAAATTCAATTTTTAATCAGTGGCATAACCTCAATACAGTGATATGATTAAATTTAAAACAAAATAAAGGAGCAGATTTTCTTTTTCACTGAACTTTTTGCATTGTCAGCTAACCATGACCTAATTGTATCTATGCGAGAACAGTAGTTTTCCTCTCCTTACAACAAAAATGACATAAGTACTTCTGATAACAGTGTTTTTATCCAGAACTTTGAATTGTTGTTTCTAGATCATCCATTAAATAAATCATACTATAGTTAAAATAATTATACGAAGGAATAAGACATGTTTTGAGTATAATTTATGTCATAATGAATTTTGCACATACTTTCTCTTGATAGACAAGAATACAGCTCAAGGTATCAATTGTTATATTATCATTATTATCAACATGAAACTCTTCTTCATTAGTGTTGTGCTTGGACCTGCTATAATTGTTACTTTGTACAAGTGATAGAATTCCTTTTATGTGGAACAGTCTACTGGACAACACAGAGAAACATGGGCAAATATCTACTCCTCGATTTAAGTTAAAACTCGTGACGCTGGTTTGTATTTGATACAGAGATACAGATGCATTTTACACATTGGAGTAGAAAGCAAATGAAGACATGACTGATGTTCTAGCAAGCATGTTCTGCCTCTCATTATCATTAAAAATAAATCTGTCCTGCTTGGAGGAGCAAAGGAGGTATAGCTCTTACTCATTTTTGACCTTGGCACTATATATGAGTGAGTGGTTAATGCCTTAGCCACTCTTTACCCCTGGGGAAGTGACCCCTGGCACCCAAAACTGGTCTGAATGCAGAGGCTAGAATATGAATCCTTTGACCCTGCTGAATATTGAGCCCCAGTTATCCAGTCTTTAATCAGACACTTCACTGACTGAGCTACAGATGCTTATGTCTTCATTATTACATCTACTTCTATAATGTTTGTATCTTCTAGCATATCATTCCCTATATATTTAGGACCTAGCCTAGACAGCTCCTTAATTTTGTACACAGTTCCTACAGTTAGGATTCAAACAGACTTCAGTTATATTTAAATTATCCAGAAATAGTGGTTTATGCCAATATTTTCCAGTTCTTCCAACTTCATACCCCTACTGAGACTGTATTTAGTAGTTTAAATTTTATCTCATAAGAAATGTGGACAATTCAAAAGTTACCACATTTAACAGAATCCTTTATCTTCCCAACTACTTTACAGAAATCTGAAGATTAATACGGGTGTATAAAACTATGATTTTATCTTTCATTTTGTATAAGAGTGGAACTAGGTCTTGCTGTAGGGGAAGAACACACTGGGGATGTCTGAGAACATCTGACTGAGGAGAATATTTGGACCTATGAGAGAGGAAGAAAGGTAGAGATTTGTTTAATGAGAAGTTGCACAATTTGTACTTATCTTCTAATGTAGTTAGAAAATCAAAATGTGTAATGGGTAGAAAATATAGCATGTGTGGGGCAGAAGAAATGTACTATGGAATCCTAAGAGTAGATGGGAGAACAATACTGAAATGGATCATAGAAAAATATATTGTAAAGGGGTAAACTGTATTGAATTGGGTCAAGACAGGGTCCAGTGGCAGGCTTTGTTGATGGACAGTTGTGAACCTTCAGATTCCATAAAAGGGAGAGTTTTGATGAACTGATCAACTGCTCATCTGTCTTTAATATGAACATGCATGATTATGTAAAACCTGAAATACTTATTACGTTCTTTGTTTTTGATCTGTTCTCTTAAGACTTAACAAAACAGCTGATGGATAAAGTCTGAAACAAAGAAGGCAGTAATATAATACCATTTCCAAAGACACCCAGGAAAAAGTGAAATACTTACCTTCTCTTCCTCCACACCAGCAGGTTGTCCTCCCCTGTTTCGTTCTTGGTAAGATGGTCTTGGAGTACCTTCATCCAAATCTGTGTTGCTTGCCATGGTGTGGTGATTTCTTCCTCTGTAAGATGACTGGTAGGCTGTGTCTTGATCCATATATCCCCTGTCCTTAGGACTTCTGGGTTCTGAAGGTTTCCAGGTTTTGTGTGCTGATCTTGGTGTTTCTTGTCGTTCAAGCTCCATATTGCTATACCTAAGATAGTTTTTTTCTCTGTGGGGAGTTCTGGGACTTTCTTGATGTAGATCAATATCACTCCCCCTGTACTCTGTATATCGAGAAGTCAGGATATCTTCCTCATCTTGCTCTTCTTCAGTTACTTTCACTTTTTCCACTTTTCTCTTGTTCTTTTTTGTTGACTTTTCGCTCCGTGTAAACAACTGTCTCATCTTATCCATTGTTGAACTCTGTTTCTTTTTTGTTACTTTCTTGTCTCCATTTTTATGTTCGTTTTCATAATTCCCCTTTGCTTTGTCATCATTTTTCTTGTATTCTTCTGCAGGATCTTTTCTATATTCATCCCTTTTAGACTTTTTATATTCTTCATATTCATCATCTGACAGCAGAGGCTGCTGGGTTATTTCAGGTTTTGTTTTTAAAACGTGTGTATGCTTGTCCCTTGAATTACTGAAGTCTTCCTTATTTGATGGTACCCAGTGGCGAATGAGTACAGTAGATGATGGAATGGCTTCATTATGCTTCTGTTCTTGAACAAGTCTGGTGGAAGTAAATGTATTATTTGTTTTTGTTTTATGATGTTCATTTATGTCACTATAATGGTTAGGGCTGTTGTGATGGGGAATGTTTTCATCCATTTCTATGTCGTCATCACTGGTGTGATTACGAAGCTTAACTCTGGTTACATTTTGTGTGTGATAGTTGTTTACTGACACTTCAGTATCATGGATTGGTGGTTTATTATATTTTCTGTTGTTTGTAGAAGAGTCTTTGGTACGATAGTCAACTTCAATGCCAGAGTCTGCAAATAGATCTTTCTTACCATGACTGTCAACTTCTGTTGCAGTAATAGAAGGTTCAAAATATCGATTGCATTTTAAGCCATAATTTTTGTCACTTTCATGTCTTATTTCTTCCTGCATTATTGGATTTCTGTCATAGTCGAGCTGTGAGTTAAGAAAATCACGGCGGTTGCTGTAAGTAATATCTGTTGCAAATTTTTGATTAATTTCATTTCTTGCATCCAGAAGACCTCCTTTGTAAGCGCCTATGTCAGAATATTTGTTGCTTGTGAAACGATCCTTTCTTTGGCTTTCAATTCTGGATTCAAGCCTGTCTCGTCTGGAACTGAGATCATTACTGTCTGTACTATGAGGCAAGAGCTCTCTTCTGTCCCTACCATAATGTCCATGCCTGTCAATTTCATCTGGAGGAATTATCCTAGCATCAGAATGGAATTCTGACTTATAGTTTTCCTTTTGTGAAAAATCACCCAAGAGATTTTGTCTTACATCATCCTTTCCTTCCCCATTGCGATGGCAGTGAAAACCATCATTATACATCCCTCCACTGTAGCTCTCTGAAGTTATAAAATCTCTCCTTCTGGAATCCATTCCATCAGCTCTTCCTCTTGCAGAAGAGTCAGTGGTGTAATTTTCATTTTCATATCTAGATTCATGTACAGTATATTCCTTCCTTGCATTATTGCCACTGTAATTTGTTATAATTTCTTGTCTTGAAGAGTTTTGTAGGGAGCTTCTCTCTTCTTCACCATTTCTTGTCCTTCTTTCCACAAAATTTCCCTTTGATATGTAACTGTTCCCACCACCATAACTGTCCATCACACCTTTTCTACCATAATTGTCCCCCTCATTGATGTAGTCCTTTAAGTTCTGTCTGTAACCATTGTGCTCCATGCTGAGACCGAGTCCCTCGTCTTCGTCTGATCCTTGATCTGTGACTTTCACTGTTACCTTGTGCTGTTGATGGAAAGGATGTAATGACTCCTTTGAGTGTGCCTCTGAAGGATAGGCCTTGGTTGTCTCTACCTGTTGTGCGTGAACTTTTGGATGGATGGCTTCTTCTGGTTGTGACTGTGTTAAAGGGAGAACCTTAGTGTGCACTGTCTGTTTGCTGACTGCTCCACCATTACTTCCTCCACTGACTACAACCTCTGCGTAGATCACTTGTCCATCGACTCCAGTGGGTGCCCTTGCTTCAGCTGCTGGTCCACCACTGAGTGGGCTGTTTCGTGTGGGCTCCATTGTGGGCGTACTGGACCCATATTGGTGTGCTGTAGGCTTTGTATATGAGAAAGGCAGGTTATTGTTGTGTTGGCGGTATTCAGGTGTGATTAAACCTGGAGCAGAATTTACAACACGTGGAGGGCCACGGGTTCTGTTGAAATCTTGACTGAGACGTTTCACCATAGCATCTACTGTCTGACCTCTTGTCAGAGTAGGCTTCTGTGTAGGCAATTGGCTGCTGTGGAGCATTGTACCTTCGCTGTCACTGGTATAGGTTTTATCGGGATCTTGAAGGGGCTGAGTGCTGTTCTTTTCATGGAAGTAATCTTCACGTGGGAGAATCTCAATGATTGGAGAGAGCTGTTTTTTCTTCTGCCCCTCACCATGCAGGTGGTGATTCTGCTCCTGCACAGCAGTCTGTGATGTTGATTCTGAATCACTGTGACTTTTCTTCAAAATTATCTTCCTAGGTCGAGCTGGAGATCTGTCAGAATAATCACTGTGTATCACAAGGCTTTTATTTTTGTTCTTATTTCGCCTTGTGAGACGATCTAGTGACAAAAACACACCTGACTGTTTGTCCTTAAAACTATTCTTTGCAGATTTTCTAGTGCTAGCATCACTTACACTTCTTTTCAACCCTATCTTCTGCTTCTTGGTTCTTTCAGGGGATATTGAGGAATGGTCCAGATCATTCAGACTCGAAGAATTATTTCTACTGTTCTTAAAATGACTTGTTTGTTGGTCTGCTAATGCATGTTTATTTTTCTTGGGCACAGAGCGATCAAGTGATGAGAAGACAGATGCTACAATATTCCTTCCCCCACTTCTCTTTGTTGATTTTCTATCTAATGATGATAGTGGTGATTCTTTATCTAAACTTTGGGCATCAGTGTTGTGTGATCTTTTGTTACTTTTCTTGTGTTTTATACTGTTTCTGTCTAGAGATGATGTAGGCGATTCTTCTCCCAAGCTGTGATTACTTTTGGTATGATAAGATTTCTTGCCTTTTCTTCTAAGAGGAGGAAGTGTGCTAAATTTCCTATTTGAATTCACTGTGTTTTTACTTTCCTTCTGTGTTTCATCTAAAAGTGATTGGCTAGAGCATACAACACTGTCAGCTTGTGCCAGAACACGTTTGGCTTCCTTTGCTAGCTCTCGTCTTGAAAGACGAGTAGGACGTTCACGGCGCACTGCCAAGGGCACCAAATGACCCTCCCCATCTCCAGTAAGGGCTCCAATAACCCTCGGAGCACCAGGATTACCTAGAGAGACAAAACCTATTGACAAAATTTTGCAGTCACATTTTATTCTAAAAGTAACCGGGTTACCATTATTTCTGATTACAATTTCATATTTTGTATCAAACTCTTAAAGCATGAGAAGTAAAAGATAAGATTTAGGAATCTGTTAATTTTCTTCAACTTAGTTATTTAGTCTCTTACTTAACTATATATATAAGTTCATTCTCCCTTCATCTCTTAAAATTCTGTGCCCCCTCTCCCCCCCACACACAATAAAAATAAAAATAAAATACTGGTGTTACCCTTTCTGAGTTCATAATTCAGAATACAAAGTATTCAATCTAATATTGTATTCAGTTTTAATATTAGTACATGCTTATATAATTGGTTCTTGACTTACTTATTCGCTTGACATGAACGTCTCGATTAAATGAGACCCGAGGCCGTGATGAGTCCGAGCGCTGAGAGTCAGAGCGGCTCACATCCGGCATTCCACCTCACACCATGTCACCACCATGTATCCTGCACACACAGAGCAAACATGACATATTTATTTCTTGTTTAATTTACAATTGTTGTCCAGAATTTATGAAGGATGATGCAGGCACATTTAAATGAAGTCCACCTCTTACTGTTAAAGTACAAAATGGCATGATGCTTCATCATACTTGACTTAATGCTTAATGGCACATTTGTATTGCTGAAAATGTTGGTGGATGGTGGCTAGCAGGGGTGGAATTTTACGAAGGTATTCCATTTTAAATTACATAATATTGAATTTCATAAATGGAATGCAGAGGTGGCAGTTTATAGAGGGGCAATATTTTGGTATTTGTGAATATTTTGAACATGTAATATTCTCTATTATTACCATACTTCCATTCTTAATTTTTTTTATTATGCACATAACATGAACACTCAGTAGGGAAGTTGTGCGTGTCTGTCCATTGTGTTATTCTTTTAATATATTTGAAGTGAGGAGTTTTGAGCCTAAATACAGATCCTTAATCAGCACTTCTTTATTTTGAATCGAAATTATGAGTGAAAATCCTAAGATATGAAACCTGCCCAACAAAATTTCATTGAGGAACTCCTAAGACTTGAGAATATTTATAACATGTGCCACTAATGATTTGAAGGGCAGACTGCTATGTATATGATGTTACAGTTTAGCCTGCTTCAGCTAACAGCCTTACAAGGTGAGAGCAAAGATCTGACAGACTTAAGTAAGCTAGAACTGTGTGGCTTGAAACCTGTATCCTTCAACCATGTGTATAGACAAAAAATGAAAGAATTAAAGTCTGATAAAAAATGAAGAAGTTAAATGAAAACAGAAATAAAAACCTTTCTTACAAAATATATGACTGGACCATATTTGTGTAGGATGTTAGGTAGGCAGCAGAAACCAGAAACTGGATTGTCAAGTCTGACTCAGTAATAAAGAAAAAAGGGTCTGGGATACTTGTTAGAAGGCAATGCAAATGTGCACTGTTCATGGAACATAACAGACAGAGCTACAGACTGCTGTGTATGATAAACTTAGGTTCACTTAACACAAACACTTTGTCATATCAAGTAGTTTAGGTAAATATAAATTAACAAAATCTAAAAGTTCAACACATGTAATACCACAGTCCATTGCTTGAGCCCATTCTTAATCAATTAAGTCAAATAGTATTCATGTCTGTTTCAGCATCTTTATACTTAGATATAAAACACTACTTACTATGTAGGTAAAAGTTGACATTTAATTTGCATGGCTGGAATTGCTTATAACATTCTCCTTCACTGTCTCAGAGAGTCTTATAATAATGCATTCTAGCTAGAAGTGAGTGTGTCTACAAATATTTTAGGTGGAAATTTTTTTGCATGTATTCTTATGACAGAATCTGTCTTCCATATCTGGTCTGTTTGCTGTTTACTGAACCTTTTGCTTCTTTCAGTTGTCAACTATATTATTTGTGAATTAGTTCTTCAGTCTCATGCCAAGAAATTGTACAGTCACCATTTTGCTTTGTCAATTTGTAGTCATCAGAGTAAGGTTTCCACCTCATTTTGCACACTTGCTTATGTTTGCATGTCTGCTTTGCATGCTGGAGTTCTGTGGCTTGAATCTCAAGGTCAAAATAATTTGGGAATTGTGTATTCTTTTCTTGGTTTATGACACTGTCATGCTGGTTTGCCTCCCCTTTTGCACTGGCCAGAGACCACCTCTAACGATAACACAGAACATAACTTGTTCGACATCTTTCATGTGTGTGCTGAATACCATCCGATTGTAATCTGAATTCTTTATAACGATGAGTGACTCCAGTAATATTACATTGTGTTAACAAGATAACTTACAATTATTTCTCATTCAAGCAATCTGAGTATTAGAATGAAAAATTCATTACAGGTACAATTCTGTCATTTTATGGACACTTTGACTTTGCACTGCTTTATTGTTTGACTATGCAACATTTTGCCTTTTAATTTTCTTAAAATAGAGAGGATAAAATATTTTTAGCTCAACTTGTATCTAATGCATTTTTAAACAAACTGACCATACACTGCCTGAGAGAGAAGTTTATGGGAGTGGTAGGTACAAATGAAAAAGAGCGCACTCAAAAGTGTCCATAAAATGACAGAATTGTACCTGAATATGAATCATCTACTTAAATTATGTAACATCAAATGTAATATGGTAAGAACATTATGAAGTGGTTGCAGAATATTTCAAGGTACTATCCTGGCCATTGAGTAGGTGGGACTGAGGAAAACCTTAACCTGGGTACATAGATGGTCCTTGGCCATGATTTGAAGCAGGTTCTTCTAAATTGTGAGTCAGATTTGTGCTCACATGCTCAAAATCTGCATTATGATGAAACAGCCAATGAAGAGACTCCCTCCAGTTTTATGTGAACAATTTTGCTCTGTGACAGATAGACAATGCACTAGGAAGCATCTGACTTGGCAAGAACATGTGGTTAAACAGTGCCCTGCCTTGCCCACATAGCCATGGGTTTCTCATGCCTGAAACTTTATTCAGATCACACACGTAACATGTCAGGGAGAACCAGCCTCTGTTTGCATTCATCTCAATGTTTAATTGACATCGTGATATCAGGTACTTCAAAGAATTGTGACACTGTGTTGACCTGGAATTTGAGGTTAGAGTTCTTTAGAAGTGGTCTAATGGTTGTGGTATGAATTGAAAGAAATTTTACCATATACGAGAAATGTCTGTGATTAGTATCTTGTTAATAGTCATAAAACACTATAATACAAGATGCATAAAACAGTGAAATCTGAATGAAATGCTCTCAAGTCTAAAGACTGAGATGCAAAACAAAAATGTATTAATTCTTGTATTTGAGGTTATGTAGCTCTTGCATGTTAACACGATGGAAATTGAGTATTCAGTTATGTCTTTCATCATAGTTTTCTGTTGTGTAACATTACAGCTTTTCAGTTTTACAGTAGCAGTTTATTTATAGAGTTTTAACATCAGTCATTATGACTTTTGGTAAATTAACATAATACTGTGTTAACCTTCTTCTTTTGTTCATTGACAGTTATTTTACCTGTAATTATCTAATGAGGCAAGAACAGTAAGTCAAAATTATGTAGCAGAACTCCTATCCTAATTATGTGTGCATGTGTCTAAGTGAGCCATCCAATGTGTTTTCAGGCCTTGTCTTTGTCATGAACTTCCTTTCCTTCCACTACTCATAATTTTGTTAGTAGAATAACAATCCCACACTAGACATGATTATGTAACATTACTGAATGACACACGTGCTTATTTTATTGAAAATTCATTTGAGGTTGCTATTGACAGCTGAGATATTTTTCTGCAGTACGTCATAGCAGAACGCTAAACCACGAAAAGTAAATTGCTCCTTTTACTTAGTTCATAATGGATTAAAAGTCTTGATAAGTTTTGAACTTGGTGATCTGGAACCTAACAGCTGAATAGGGTGGATCAAAATTATCTGCACAAGTTTCAATTTTTAATATTTTTCTCAGTTTGTAAGAGTTTTTGTAGTTTTTTTTGTTTACTTCTTGGTTCATAATCAATATTAAAATGAAAATAAATGGAAGAAAGTGTGTGTGGCATATTTTAAGGTAAAATTCTAGTATGAATCTGAAGGGACCAATTAAAAGTATAAAAAAAAACTAGTAAATTTGACCATTCTACAAACTGAGATTTGGACCAAGGACTTCTGGAATATGAAATAGGCTTACTGACCAGTGTCGTTAACCAAAGAACCAGTGGTATATTAAAATTTAATTTCGGGAGGTGTTTTGAAAAATTAACTGAACAACGTTTCATTTCATCTGTGCAAATATAATTAATTTATAATAACTTTTTGTTATGAAACATGGCGGTAGGATGGATCCACAAAGCACTCCTCTCAATACGAACGCCCAACAAAAACATCCATCCAGATATCCATCATCCATCTCCTTCGACGTCACTAGGGCAGTATAAAATATCACCTGTCTTGGTCAGTCGGACTATACTTTTTGCTGCCAGCACCAGGCTGTGACGTAACATGCAGGCATTACTGGGAAGTGACGAGACCTGTATATCGCATCTACCTTAAGAAGAGCGAAATGTACATTAAGACGCCTACAGTCTGTTCTACATCGAAGAAGCCTGTGACGCTAGGGCTGGACTGGATTCCAGTACCACCCACGTCATGCAGAAAAGAGCATAGTTCCAACCACACGGAAGAAACTGTTCTGCAAACATTATTATCGCTGTGATTTCACATCGGTTGATCCTCACCGCTACAGCTGATAGGGCAACACCCTTCGTGGGTTCCGGCACATTTAAAACTTTTAAAAACAAGGAAACGGCATGTCTCTTTTGACCTCATGGCGAACCACCAATTACGTAATTTTTGACTGTTTTTGGAAAGTTGATTATTGTTCATTTGCATTTTATATTATGTCATTATGTATGTTCGCAGTTACTTGATTTTAAACAAGTGACCCTCGTGTTTTACAACGTCGTGGACGATGGATTTAAGTTGCAGTTAGAAAAAGTAGGGGGGGGGGTCCAAGCTTATAGTGTAGAAGGCAGTTACTCTTTGCATAAACTCGCTTAATCGTTCGTTTTACTTGTAAATCATCATAGTTACCACTGCTTAAACATTAGTTTTCTCATTCATAATTTAGATGTAAGTTTACCTCTTATATCTATGCGTGTGATGAGCTTTTTCATGAATTCGTAAGAGTACAGTTTGAGAATGTCTGAGGAAAACGTTTGTATGGAAAGAAGAAACTAATTGAGACAGATATGTAATCTATTGCTTAATAATTTATAATCTTCGCGTAATATAAAGAAATTTAATAACGACGAAGATGAGACAACCAAGACATGCAAACACGTATGGGAAAGCAAGGAATGCACACATTCTATTTTAAGAAAACGTCAGGAGACCTAGACGAAGATTGATAGTTATATAATATTAAAATGGATTGAGAGGGATAGGTCGTGAAAATATGAACTACATTGAACTGACTAAGAA